GGGGTCCAGTGCACTGACACCATGCTTATCCACCCTAAGAACAAGGAAGGGTACGTATTAGCCTTATTAAATGTGTATGCGACGTATAGTACCGAGCATCAGAGGTAGGACAGCCCCATGCATCATGTTCAACTGGGTGTGACACGTGGGTTTGATGCATGTACACTGTCCTACCCATTGCTGATAGAGGGCCCACAGTACCCACAAAACCACACACTAGTTACTCAAACTATAATTGTCTACAACTCCATCAAACCCCATAACCTAGCTTTGGTAGACATTCATTAATACAAGTCGTATATATAACAGTGAATATATAGACAATCAAATCACCATACGCAGGCTGCAGAAGTAAGTTTCAGCAGAAGATCTAAGGTCAGGTTCGGACATGTTTGCTTACTTTCTGCCACCTTTATAAATGTTTAAGTCCATATATATACATGCATCAAATCCTAATTAATCCTATATACCCAGAGCTTAATCGATTAATCCATTATATTGAATCTAATTAATTAACCAATTTACCAGAAATTGACTCCGATTTTAGAAACTGTTCCGGTGTTCCGACCCTTGAGTTTCAGATCCAAGTTTACGATCGATGGGTATTACTAGTACTAACGTAGTCAGATATCACCTGCTGCTAGAATTTGACCTATTCAATACTGTTGGGAAGGCCATGAACTAGGATTTAACCTATTTCAGTAGACTGGTCCTGGGGCTTCAAACGTTGTTGTTATAGTTGTAGTTTCTGTTTCTCCTTCTGTGTGTGAACGCCTGCTGTAAGTCTACTTCTTCTGTTCTTGTTCTTTTCGGGGGACCGGAGGAGAGCACCTTTATGTCTAGRCCAATTCCGGTGGCCCACTCTAGTCTTTGGCCTTAGTTCTCCAGGTCAATGACTTAGGCTACAGTCGTAGTTTGCAATATCGAAACTTATTGGCAGGATAAGTTTCAGCATAGTACGGTACAATTCCTACAGTAAAAGATCAAATTTAAATTCAACAAGTACGGGATAAGTCGATAACACACACATAATTGGCTATGGCATTTTTCAAGTTTAATTTGATTTTGCATTTGTTTAGGATTTGGGTTAATTTTGCATTAAGTTTATCAATCAAAATTTGGTATTATTTTATATGGAAATATATAATTAAAATGAAGTTAACTTATTGATAGATGGGTTTGGGTTTTGATCGGAAAGAATTTTAAGGCATCTGAGGGTTTTGATCTTAGGGTACCTACCCAAATCCATTTATACTTAATATGGGTACCTGCTCTTGGTAAGTATACTTAATATGGGTTTGGGTTTTATGTGTCATATATAATTTTTATATTATAATATGAAATAATACACATTAAGGGCATGTGCTATGCATAGGTAAATGTAAAGATATAAGTTTATATTGGGAAAATCTATGCTGCCAGAAAGACAAAATACCAGAAGAGCATTGACCAATTAAACTTTCTCGTGAGTTTTGATATATACTACCTGATTGATTACTACTTTTATGATATTTATTGATTGAAAAATTTTTGAATCAAAGTTGACTTAAAATATGAGAAAACCGACCAATTCGGGTCGAGTTGATCAGGTTGGTCAATTTCATCAATTTGATGAATAAACCTAATTGAAATTAATTATTGTTATTTTTGTATTATAAAAAATTTATTAAAAATATTATATAAAATATGAATAATTATTAATTATTTAAAAAGTTAAAAATATAAAACAATTGTTTATGATAGACTTGAGCATGAGGGATGCTAGCTTAAGTTCAAAACATTGATCAACCTCTACTATTTCAGGTACATTCTCTTCCATAATTTGATTCCTTTTTTTTTTTTTGATCAAGTCTCCCTTAGATCGTTCCTTTGTGCTTGATCATGCATTAAAATAAGCACTTTCATTTGGCCTACTTTGGTCACAGAGGATTTGGTCATTACAGTTGCAAAGAAAGTCAACCTAGGTATGTTGAAATGATTTTCTCTCTTGAGTCCCATTCTCTTCAAAGTAACACTCAACACTTTCATTAGTGTAGGTCTCTTTTGGTGTGAGATGCGATGTACAAGGTGTTTATTTTGTGTTGTAAATACATGTTATAGATACCCGTTTTGGCAAATATGGTTGAATGAATATAATGTTCAAGGGATGGTTATTTTTGTTATGGCCAATGGTCAAGCACTAATGGTTATTTTTGGTATACAAAGCAAAACTAAATACAGAGTTACAGGAAGCAACTCTTCAAGGGATGTCCAAGCATTAAATATTAATTTTATCTAGATAGAGAATTAATCTTGAACGATGGTCAGGATATGTAATTAATCCTTTAATTCATAATACCAGTGGAGGTTTAAGTGATTTATCTAGATAAAAAAGATAAATGAAAATGGAGCATGTTAGATATAAGATCCACTCCTCTCCATATTCATTCAAAGAAGGTTTGTAATAAATGAAAATGTTTATCTAATTCAATTTTGATTATTTAAATTCAACAAGTCAATGCATCACATGAGGCCCCACTAGTTTATATTATATGATCAAATTTATCACCTGCAGAAAAAAAAAGAAGATAAATATACAKTTKATATAGTAAAAGATATATATGCTTTTCAATAACAAAACATATTTTAAGTATATATAATCCAATAATAATATACTTTTTACACACAAAGATAACTTATATTAAGTCGGCCCACTTCCGGACCAAGGTTTTAATTTCCACAAGTGTGTGCTAGAAATGACCAGAAGTCCTGTCACGCCATAGACCCTATGCAGGCCGTATAAATTAAACAAATAAGAGATTTCAGTGTCCATGAGAAATTTGAGGGAAAAGGCTTATAATTTCATATTATTGCATAGAACTTCTATCCTGTTTGTAATGTCTTATTTCATTACTCCATCCTAGCTATGATAAAATAATTTCTGGCGAAGGACGCATTATGTTATCAAATGCACATATATGATAATTATTGATAGAACTGAATATATTTGATATTTGTCGAAGCAGTAATCTATCACGGAAAAATATGCTCCGCTACATGCAATTAATGAGGAACTAATAAAGTTATCTTTATGCATAATAATCAAGTTTTAAAATGTTGAAAATATAAAGAGTTTTCGGTATTTCTTTTAAATTTATCATAACTTTTTAAAATATCTAAACTCACCATGAGTTTAAAAGAAATGCTAAAATTCATGGTGAATTTTAGACAATTTCCCAAACTTTTAATCTAATTTTATAAAATCCAAATTTAATACTATTAATTATTAACTTATGTTTGTTTGGTTATAAGGTTTTTGTGCATGTCCACACTCTTAACCAAATGTATCCCGGTGGCGGTAGCTCTCACTTAACATAAACCTTTAAATTATGTATCCATACCTTATTATTTGTAATCATTTGAGTCTTAGATTTAATCTATGAATTTCTGTAGCTAATATATTCAAGTGTATATATCCAAAGCATATTATGATATGTGCCGTAAAATTGTCGTATTAATATGCTTTAATTACAATATCAATATTTTAAACCTTGATCACAATTTTAGGAATAAGAATGGGTAATGAACAAGTTTCAGAACTTGAAACATTTTCAATATCACCTWCTCCCTTATAGCATCCTTATATATAAGTAGGGGAAAAGATGTAAGGAGATGCCCCCCACTATTCCTCCTAGTGGGAATGTTTAAATTTCAAATCTTCATTATGACACCTAACAATTCTCTAGAGGAACTCATGCATTCATTAGACTAGTGCTAAGTATATAATATATAATATCTAATTTAAGGTATATATATAAAAGACTATTTAAGAAAAAAATATCAGATTATTGGGAAACATTACCTTGGTTTGATAATTTTGATATTATCAGTTACTCTCATACACCCAATCCTTATTATGTCTTTTAATCCATAACTAAATTAGTAATAATAGTATAGTAAAAATATGATCCACTTTTCCTGAGATTGGCAACAGCTGCATGCAAAAAAAAAAAAAAAAGAAGAAAAGAAAATTCTCACTTTTCCTGAGTGAAAACTGAAGTTGTTTGTGTTGGCAACTTGGCATTAACCAAAATCATCAAGTATTAATTCTAGGTCCATTGGATATTGCAAGGTTTGGAAGAATAAGCAGAAGATGTTACTAAATCTTCAAACGAGATATCCAAACAAAGAATTTGAGAAATATATTGAACACCCAACATTGTATATACCAACTGGTTAATTACATCTCCAATATGAACCAAACATCAGACTGCTCTTTCTGGTGATCTTTAATATGTTTGATACCTGGTCTAGCAAACCGGATCCACCATAAAACCGGGTTTCATTCAATACCAACATACCATTATTCCAGTGAGACGAACCGAACGGGTATGAACCTTTAGGCTTGGCTCGGTATCAGAGTTGCGCCGAGCCGACAGAGAAAAGAGTGGGGTCGGTCAAAAAGGTAGATCCTAGGCACTGTACACGCGTCAGCATGCCAGTGCTCTCCTTGGATTTCCATCTGTCGTCATTGCTTTTGAAACGTGGCATTCTCTAATTGGAAAACAGATTACGTATGCTCTCATTTCTTCTCTCGTCTCTTGTAAACGTAGAGTAGTGTTTTAAGAGAAAGCGAGAAAGAGTGATAGAGAGAGAGAGGGGGTGTGAGTGAGTCAGTGAGAGAGAGAGAGAGAGAAGCCAGACACAGACAGATTTGAAGAGAGAGAGAGAGAGAGAGAGAGAGAAAGAGATAACTCTAAACACATAGAACAGGTATGGGGCCAATACGTCCTGCATAAATTGGAGCTTTTCGTGGACGACACGATCCGGCACTACCGCACCTATCAACACTTCTTCATCGCTCCTCCCTCTGTGTGCGTGTTTTTATAGTCTAATGGAGATGGGGGACCAGTACGGCCTTCCGGATCTACGGCAACTGATGGGTGGAAGAAGCCATTTTCCGATGATTCCTCAACCTGCAGAGCAGTTCCCCGGTCACCGGAATCTCACGACAAGCCAGCATTACGAGATGATTATGGGAGGTCACCAACATCAAGTAGGTGAAATGTTGCCTCGTGGGGTGGTCGACTTTCGTTCAGATACCAATCCCGCTTCTTCTCCTGCTGTTGTTGCTACCGCTTTTTGTGGTGGCTTAGAGATGGAAGCCTGTACCGGAGGTGACGGTGGGAATGGTAGATGGCCCAGACAAGAGACGCTAACCCTTCTAGAGATCAGATCTCGTCTCGATCCCAAGTTCAAGGAAGCAAATCAGAAAGGGCCCTTGTGGGACGAAGTCTCTCGGTATTTTATTTTAATTTTTTTTGTTTCGAATTTTTAAGTTACATAACCCCATATCCTCTGTGTTCTTCCCCAGTGATTATGAATAATCAGCTCTATAGGTTTCTAGAAGATTTACGGAAAACCCGTTTAGTTTTGCGTAGGAAACATGACTGTTCTTTGTCTTTCTTACTGGTTTTGCACTGTAAAGTGACAAGCTTTTGAAGCAATCTGTGTTTTTTACTGGGAATAATTAAGTCCCGAAAATGACAGACGTTTTCAGTTTACTGGGAGATCTGAGTGATTAATTTTTCCCTCCTCCCTCCCCCATTTTCTTGCTGGTTTTGTGCGAGAAAAATAAGTGACTCCTTGGAAATTCCGAGTACTCATTTACTTGTTTTCTTTGACGAAGTGACATCACCACGAGCCCCTCTTAAAACCCATCCTGGTTTCGATTATATTGTGTTGGAAGCATAGCAGACTCCTTCGAAATTTGACACCCATCACTTAGTTTAGCAAGGAAAAAAGAAAGGCACCCATTAAAAGAAACGCACGAGCACAGACACACGAGATGAGATTGTAACATTTCCTGAGACAATTTGTTTTTAAAGAATGTTGGGGGGTATATTAAATTTTTAATCCTTTTTTCCTAACTACGTAATAACCATTAAATCTTGTTGAGAGTCTGAGACATTTCCATAGACTGAAAACTAGGGTTTCTGTATTTGTTTAATGTATTTTATTATGTTTATTCATGGTTGCAGGATAATGGCAGAGGAACACGGGTACCAAAGGAGTGGAAAGAAGTGTAGAGAAAAATTCGAAAACCTGTACAAGTACTATAAGAAGACCAAGGAAGGCAAGGCTGGGAGACAAGATGGGAAGCACTACAGGTTCTTTCGGCAGCTTGAAGCTCTATACGGGGAAACTAGCAATCCAAATCCAGTCTCAGTTACAGAAACTCGCCTTACTGGAACCAGTCCTCCATAYGGAACCACAGTCTACAACACCCAACAAGCCTTGCAAGCTCAGAAACTCAGTGAGAGTCTTAGCCTCTCTAATTCCTCCGAATTGGAAACTTCGTCCTCTGAAGACAACGGCAATGATCTCAACGCTGTCGCGTTCACAGGAAGTGACTGGACGGAAAAGAAAAGGTTGATGATGATGATGATGAAAGACAGTCAAGGTGTTAAGAGGGGTCGAAGGAGCTGGAAGGCGAAAATTAAAGATTTTGTGGACTCGCAGATGAGGAAGTTGATGGAGACACAAGAGGCCTGGTTGGAGAAGATGTTGAAGACCCTAGAACACAAGGAACAGGAAAGGATGTGTAGAGAGGAAGAATGGAGGAAGCAAGAGGCTGACCGCTTGGATAGAGAACAGAAGTTCTGGGCTAAAGAGCGAGCTTGGGTTGAAGCTCGTGATGCTGCATTAATGGAAACCTTGCGGAAATTTACAGGAACAGAACTAAAGAGCTCTTCTTCGGAAGAGCTAATGGCCACGGACCTTCACGATAATAGTGAAAACGGCCAGAATGAGAATGGAAGCGAAACCCTTGATAGCAGCATGAACAGTAATAGATGGCCGGAACAGGAGGTCTCAAGTCTGGTACAGCTGAGAACCAGCATGGTCTCAAGATTTATTCAACATGGAGAGTTAGCCAAGGAAGGCTTGTGGGAGGAGATTTCAGCGAAGATGGCCTGTTTGGGATTCAATAGAAGTGCGAAGCAATGCAAAGAAAAATGGGAGACAATCGACAAGTATTTCAGAGAAAGAAAGGAGTGCAACAAGAAACGCAAAGAGAACTTAAGAACCTGCGATTACTCCCACCATTTTGCTGGTTCCTTGTATAACCCAGTAAGGGCTTATTCGTTTTGCCATGACACCGACGGGTTTCACCCAAATGACGCTCCTCCTTCTAATTCTAATGCAGGCACCACCACCACCACCGTCCATGATAGCTGCTTCCGATATCTGATGGCTGAAGGGGAGAACTTGTGGGAGAACTATGGGGTAAGGTTCAACAAAGGAGAGAACCAGTAAGTTTTCTAGAATTAGGAAACTTTGTTCACTTGTTCCACTCAGAGATCAAAATTTGGAACTTGGGAGAGATATGTTAAAAACAAAGAAGGGAGAGACAGACGAGGTTGACTTACTGAGAGGCATCGGATTTGACAAATGCGCATATCGGGAGATGGGTCTGTGTGTTTATCAGAGAACGAGTTAGCTAAATGAGAATTATTGCTAGTTGGTTATTGTTAATTTGGTGTTTCTTCCAACAAACAAAAATATTAGATTAGGAAATCATCTTTTCTTTTTTTTTTTTTCTTTTTTGTTAAAAAGACTCAGACCTCTAAAACACGGACACTCATAAAAAACAAATAAAAAATGGTTAGTGATGAATTTTCTTTAAATCCTTCTTTTCAGCATGTGTTGCATTAGGATGTTTTAGTTGATTCTTTTACGTTACCCTTCAGTGAATTTTTTAAGTATTGATGTCACTGGGGGTCTAATAGCTCAAATGGTATTGCCCAGTGGACCTTAAATTTATTATAAAGAATAGGCCGTGATTTAGTTGGGTTCAGACTTCAGACTTCAAATGTGTAAAAAAATAATAAGCAATGCAGTATTGGAATCTAGAGATACTTTTAATCTTTTTCTAGGTCAAGTATACGTGGAAGTGGAATCCTTTGCTTCATGAAAAATAAAAAAAAGCATTAATAGGTAGTTTAGACACTAATTATGTATCCGCTGGAGACTAGATTACTATATTGTAACCTAAATAATTGATAAAAGTCCCCTTAATATCGTTCATCTCTAGTATGATTCAGAAAGGAGTGCCGTAATACTTTTAGCAAGCAGCTTCCTGTATTTCAGGACAACAGAAGTTTCATCAGGGAGACCAATCAGATCAAGGTTATCAAGTTAGAGTAGACACCACATTCAAGACCAAAATCGTAAGAGATAACCGTAACTTATTTAATTTGTTGTTGGATCTTGGTGTTTTCCTTTCTTTTCTATTTTCTTCTTTTTCTCCTGTTTCACTTTTTGCTAGCTCAATCGCTTGCTCCGTGGTCACTGTAATCAAAGAAACGTTATTAGATGACAGTTTTGGATATAATTCATTTGGGGTTGGTGAGAATTACATTGGATACGGCATCCTATATATGAGAAAACTAGCTTGTCACGACATACCCATAGAGAGAGAGAGAGAGAGAGAGAGAGAGAGTCCTTGAATTTGTTCCAGCTGCATACCTACAAAAGGATGCTGAGCGCTAAGATATCATGAGGATAGACGCTATAACGGAGGGGAGAGTTGCATATATTGATTGGACGTCGAAAGACAATTCCCCCGCCCTGCTACACAAGTAGAGCTCCATTTGAAGGCTGCTGAACGAGTGGTTCTCTTCTCTAAGCAATTCTATCGTGTGTTTAACACTTATTAGACTACAGATATTATGGACGAAGGCACCAGCAGTTCTTTTCCTTACTACTGAGGAAGACCATATAATATCCCCAGTTTGTTCTGAATGTGGTCATGGCATGGTGGCCCATCTTTTCAGTTTGACACAAATCACTGTTATTTTATAGAGCAGTGTGGAGTATTTAGAAAACACCATTTATATTTGAATTTGAGCCAGTCAATGTTTTGAGCCAACCTGATTTTTGAAACTGCAACTAGAATCCCAGCTCAGCCCGGGGAAAAGCAACAAGAAAAAAGAAATCTTGTCCGGAGACCTGTGCTGATCGTACCCAGGTGATAATTTAGAACTGTATATATATATATATGAATAATAACAATTTCTTCTTTTTTTTTTTCCTCTTAGGATTTTCCCCCTTTTGGGGGCGGGGACTGAGCAGTGTCAACAAAGATAAATGGATGGAGTTTGGGAACTTTATGCGTGGAAGTGCATGTGGAAGCTTGGAGGTGATGACGGTGCAAATGAAGTAGTTGATGTTTTCAAACATCAATAGAGGAACATCTAGCTCTACTAGATCAGTGGTGGAATTAATAATACATGGTATGGTGATGCCAAAACCAAGCCAAAAGAGAAAATAGTTAGTTCTGTTTTATCATTTATGTTGTTTGGGGATTAGGAAGAGATCTAGATTACTTAATTAATGTGTGTTACCTGTTACGTTAGAGGGACAGATAGTTCTGAGGGGGAGTAGCTTGCTTCTACACCCCTCTACACTAAATCTTCTACTCCAGTGTGTTAGATGGATAGCTTAGATTGTAATCCGCCAGCTCGATCCATGGCAATGGAGAAGAGAATAAAAGAAGAGAAAAGATGGAAAACCTGCCCCTTTTCCATCTTTGGTTTGGAAAAAGCTTGTCATCTCTCTGTAGACATAGCCTTTTCAGTTTTCACTACGCCAGAAAAAACTTTTCTGGCATATATACATGGGCAACTACCTATTAACGTACACTAAATGACCAACAATGGAAAGCTCAACAGGGAGGAACTATTACAAGGGAAAGATCACAAAAAGGAAAAAAAAGGAGGGCATAGTCAAATCAAGAAAACAAGCATGCAGACACAAGCCATATCCAGTCCAGTCTTGCTGAGTTGCTGCTGCACTAAAGGCTAAAGTTACCCCGCTTTTTTTCTCCCCAGTTTTATCTATTTGGGCCTGCAACCCATATCATCACTTCAACCTTTCTTCATCACATGGGAATTGAAATTTTGCATTAAACATCCACCAACATGGATAAAATTATTGACGAACTGAGATATATATTCATCAAATGTATGTTCATAAGGGAAAAGCAGATTGACAATGAAACCAATAAACAGATTTTAGGATAATTATAAAACATTATGGGCTATATATCAAGAAAGCATTTGTCCAGCAACGTATATAGGGCTGCTCTGCTAATGGTATTGTTTGCGTATGACTTCGAATTTGAACTCTATGTGATTAAAGTCTATGCTTCTACCTATCTACATAAAATTGAACATAGAGCTAGTTCGATCTGAAAGGTCAATGTCCATGGCGACAGATCTTTAAATGGATTCAGAAGAATTTTTTTTTTTCAAAGGATGATCTAAGGGAATCAAGCTGTGCTAGCTCGAAGCTGAAGCTGTGGTTTGGAGAGTGATACGTACTCATGAGATAGTGAGAATCCTGTTGGTGGAGTCTAGGGGTGGATTCGAGCCAAGCCGAGCTGAATTGTACGAGGTTCGAGCTCAACTCGTCAATATAGTACAAGGCTCGAGCTCGAGCTCAAGCTCAGTTTGAGCTAGAACCTTGAACTCAAGCTCAATCTCGACTTAAGAAAAAATGTTTTATAAAAATAAAAAAATTATATATAAAAATATTTTTTTATTTGATATTTAAAAAATTAAGAATTATAATAATTTTATATTAGGCTCGAACTCGCTCAAATAGCTACACTTTGTTGAGGGGAACTTCCCCAATATTTAGTACACTTTATTCCACTTTCATATGTAGCAGTACATATCATGCTATGCATGGGACAGTCAATCAAATGTGTATCACCTGGTCCCTGCTCTCTCCATCTTTTGTGGCTCATATTTTACTTTTGAGGGAATAGTGTACTGATGAATCTAAATACCAAAAAGAAAAAAAAATAAAGTGTACTGATGAATTAATCTTAATTTATTTGATGAATGTTCCAAAAGCTAAATTCGTTTGAGTAAAATTCGTTTGAGCGTTGTAATGATAGATTAGTCTCATAAAAGTTATTTTTCTAGTTACTTTATTCATGACATAAAGTATCAAATTGATTTTATTCTTTCATTAGTAACATAATATTGTGATCGTTTTTAGTGTAAGTATCAAATGAACCAAACTTGGTTAAAGGTATATTTAATTGGATCTAATCCTTAGGATTCCTACAACAAAGGGCAATAATGGATGACCCTTCTTTCTTTCTTTCTTTCTAGTTTCTACAACAAATGGCAATAAGGAATKAATTAATTTTATTCCCATTTCTTTCTTTCTTTCTACTTTTTCTCTTTTTTTAATTAGCTATATAATTGGTGTATTAATATTTTTACTCATGTTGAAAATAATTTGGGATTATAGGAGATAAGGTTAACTTTTGGGCCCTAATACCAATAAAAATAATATTTAAAAAAATTCAAAAATAGGTTAACTTTTTAAAAATAATATCAATTTAGGGCAAAAACACTGTTCATCTTCTTCCTCTTTCAATCCATTCATTAGTGCCGCCGCCCGCCGCCGCCTCCAGCAACGTTGCCAGAGGTGGGCAGAGGCAGAGGTGGCGGTGGTGGTGCTAATGGTCATTCCTTTGCCCAATACCGCCACCTCCGCCTTCGGCAACATTGCTGGAGATGGGTGGAGGCAGAGGCGGCGACGATAGTGCTAGTGGTCATTCCTTTGCCCAATGCCACCACCTCCGCCTCCGCCTTTGACAACATTGCTAGCGGTGGGCGGAGGTAGAGGTGGCGGCAACGGCGCTAGTGGGTGGAGGTGGAAACGTTGGGTAGAGGAATGACCACCAGCGCTGCTGCCGCCTCTACCTCCACCCACCTCTGGCAATGTTGCTGAAGGCGGATGCAGAGGTGGGCGGAGATTGGCAAAGGCATTGCCGAAGGTAGCGACGAACAGTGGTGTTGATAAATGAATTGCAAGAGGAAGAAGATGAACAATATTTTTGCCCTAAATTGATATTATTTTTAAAAAGTTAACCTATTTTTAAAATTTTTTAAAAGTATTACTTTTATTGATATTAGGGCCCTAAAGTTGCCATTATCTGTTATAATCCCAAATAATTTCCATAGAATAGAAGGGACAGAAAACAATCATTATTATTGTAAGGTTGTCAAAGGTCTAGGTCAACCTGACAGACCCAAACTGATCCAACCCTACACACAGAGTTTGGTGTCTATATTTCGGTCCTGATTATAATAGGGTTGATTATGGATGATTAGCTTTTTGATTACCTCTTTAATAGGGTCAGTAATTGATTTGCTTGTTCCAATCCAATTAAAAGACATCAAACGGGATGGATTGGAGATAAAATCATACATCTACACCAGACTGGGCTAACTATTATAAATGCATATTCATATACTAACAATTTGTAATATGTATATGCATATCTATAATAGGGTCAGTCTTAGGTCTATTACCCTATAGTATCTTGGGTGGAAATTGGCTCAGGGTTTCTTCTTATAGAGTTGGGGCTGAGCCTATCCTGAGTCCTGACCCAGCCTAAACCCTGCATATTTATAGCTTTACCCCGCTGAGCCTAATAGTAATAGGGTAAT